AAAAGGTGAAAAAAAATGCTTTGATAAGCTTTCCCTGAGTTTTTGAGTCTAGCTGTTGTCCTGCAGAACTTCACAGGTTTGGTTACCAGAGGTACTGTTAAGTTTTCCTTAGTTCTCCCATTTTGAGTTGAGCCTGCTTAATATGAATGAAAACGATGTGTCACTACTTTTGTGCAAGCATAGATGAGATGAAATTCAATTCAATCAAACTGCAACTGGCAAGCAACAGGCGCAAGGCAACTACTAAATTTGTTTTGCGAACTAAGGCCATGTCCCAATATGCACACTTGTGGTCTTGTACCCTTCATATGCTAGATCCTGCTTAAGTCGGCAAGCTCTTAGGGTTTTAATTTGTCAATTTGTTTCACAAGGGTGATCACGAGTGCCCCTAATGTGCCCTTCTGCGATAACCACATAGGGGCAGACTTTGCTGAATGAATTTTCCCCAGTTCCTCAAGGAATGGTGACGTTTCATGTTCTAACCTATCAAAGCGGAAAGAAATTAGATAATAAAATATTCAGGTGTTGGTAAAGTTGAACTTTTTTACAGTTTTAAAACAATATTTAATGTAAAAATATCGTAAATCATCATTAGGCTACTTTAGATTGATACTGTTTGTGTTCTAGGTACAAAATCGTGATGCCCCGTTTCCACTGATTAATATTTGTTTACCTACGGTATATTTTGTAAATGAAAAGATGAAGTATTTAATAGTCCAAAGTTTTGAGTTCTTGCAAAGTTCACCTTATTTACTTTACTTTGAACATGAATAAACGCATTATGTATGTTCTCCATACGGTCATGTTTGTACTGGAAATGAGGAGATGAAATGTAGTTGTAAAGCTTTGAATAAACAGAGAGCAGTACTGCCAAGTTTTCCTTAGATTACTTTGCCCGTTTTGAGTCGAGCCTGCTCAACATGAATGAACACGATGTGTTGCCGCTTCTGTGCAAGGATAGACGGGATATAATTCACTGTAATCAAACGGCGAGTGGAGAATGGATTTTGAAAAATTATCTGCCGACATGCACTTAGCCACTGGAAAAGAAGCATCAACAACAGAAAGCATTTTGACCATGAGCCGTGTAACCAACAAGTGATATCATGCAAGGGTGTCCCATTACCCTTTTTATAACCGCTTCATTTTTTTTAGTCCACACTTGCGCTACATCACAGAAATGCGGACTTGGAGGAAGAGCTTAGGGCTTAGCGTGACATTTGGGACATGACCTAAGTTTTTTCCTTTGTAGGATAAAATATAACTGTATGCTACCATAGTACTAATCACACACGTCTTCTTCCCAAGAGGTTTGAGAAAAAAAGGATATTGATTATATTGATCATCTCCCCCAGTGATTTTGGAAACCCTGGTCACAGTCTGCTAGTGCTCTCAGGCTCAAACCATTGGTCAAAGAGCTCCGTCTGCGCTTGAGTGAATTCCTGGTTTAACCACTTGTGAGGCCCCAAGCAGTTGGAATCTTAAGTTAAGTAATGCAGTAGTCAACGTCCCACATGATTAGGAACTAAAACAGAGAGGTCCCATTAGCCTTATTATTAGGTCAATTAAGGGCTCAGATATATAACTGAGAGCACATCTTGCGATGAAAACCTGCTGGCATGTGGATACCCAGGACTAGAGTTAGGGACCTCTTTCCTAGTGAATGGCTTTGGAGCAGAAGGCTTTATCAAATTACTGTGGTGTATCTTTACTGGCAACAATAATACTAAATGCTTGTGTCCACTATGGCAATAAAAACTCTCGAAATGTAAAGCTGCTTTTGTCAAAAATAGTTGAACAGGAGAATAAAGATCGTAACATTTACCCTTTGGAATTAATTCTTGAATAATAGGAGTATGTCCCAACCTCTTCCCACAACAATTATGTTAGTTTTGCTATATGATTAAGGGCATAATAGGAGCCAAGAGGAAGTAGGATACAGAGCTGCTTTTCTCCATTTTGCATACACCGAATCAACACAGCCAGACGTCTGCTGGGGCTCAGTAATCTTGTTTAATCTTGTGGTTTTGTAATTTGGGAAGATGTAAATGTCTGTTGTGTCTGCTGTACAGTCTGTTATGGTTTTGTGCATTGTGTCTAGAAGTGCAGAGATTTTTGGTCTCTGGAGCAAAATGTTGTCTGGGGCAGTAAGGTCACTCCTGCCTGGCGCAATCCTTGACTCATAATAGAAATGGCATTAGTACGAACATGATGGTCATAGCCATGAAACAGCATAATTCTTTGGATAATGGTATATCTGGTTGTTTGAAAAAGGAGCAGTTTATATAATGGATGTTAATGACTTAAAACATTCTTTGTCCTATATTGTACTGAGGTGTGCTGTGTGCATGATTCTGTTCAGACTGCAAGACTTGTTCACAACAAATAAAGATCGTAACGTTTACCCTAGGTAATATAAGTGGTAGTATAAGTATGTTTAGCTGTTATTTTGATCAGTATGTGGTTGATATCATGTTGTTTTGACAGAGAAATTAAAGATAGATTTTAGATAGTTTTTTTGCAAATTGTTCATATGACTAGTAGATGTTTAAAATTAATGTCTGTTTTGGTATTTTATTTCACAGAAACTGAACATGTCTAACTATAGATATGTAACATGTAATGTTGCTTTTAGTTAGTATAATGTATTCTTTGTGGTTACTGTCAATTTTCATTGTAGAGATCAGTCCCAAAATATAATAGACCTTGGATAAACAATACCATTCTCAAAATGAAGAGTGTTACAAGTTAGAGCATAAAAGGAGAGCTGCGAAGGTTTAAGTTTACTATTGTGAAAATTAGTCTGAGCAGAAACAATACTGCAGTCTCCTCTACAAGGAATTTTAATTAGACAAAAACGATAGAGGATTGTAAATTCTTCTGCTTCATCTGTAAGAAATGTTGAGACATCACCTGTGAATTGTGAAGTTCTTGGCAGTCTAAACTTGGGAATTTGACAATGAATTTCCAGTAACAGTCTTCACCCATGTATTCCCTGTAGAAAATGTTGAGCTGATGAGTCATTTTCTTCAGAATGGGAAAAAAATAGCAATATTAATTATTATTTGTGTTTTAAATGTTACTACATAATTTCTCAAAAATGATCTACATTTCCTTTGACCTCATATTCTTGGGAATATGTCTCATATTAAATGTTTCACTGGAAACCACCAGTTCCTTCTCTTAAAATTGCTTTGGTAAGTTCCCTATTCAGAAAGTTCAGTATCATTTCAGTTTAGGTAGTGTTTATAAATCAACCATAAATCTTCCTTTTCTTGTGAAAGTGCTCAATAAAGAGCTGTACAACAATTGATTACTGATTAACAATGCATCTGAAAGCTTAAAATATTGAATATGGGATATGGATCAAATTATAGTACAGAAATGTACTTATGAGAGTAAGAATTTACCAACTGTTAAATGCAGGTTCAAGTACATTTAAGGCTGTTTCTGACCTTGTGTTGTCCTTCTCCCAGTGCTACATTTGTAACTGAATTTGATGTAGCAGATTATGACATTTTAATAGACCATCCCAGTTTTTTAAACAGTCTTTCTGGGAATGTTTTGAAGTAAAAAATGAAATACAGTGAAAGTTCTAATATCTCCAGTTCATTAAATTATGGATGCCTAGAAATTACTTGCAGTTTTGAGGTCTTTATAGTAGGGTGTAAGCAACCATTTGCCCAGGCATTATTTAATGTAAATGTTTTAACTTCTAATGTGAATTCTGAAGTAAAAACATGCATCTTTAAAAAAAGGATTATGTTTTGATTCATGCATCCAGAATACCAAGTGTTGATCACCTTAGAAATATTTCATTTCTGTCATACACTGAGAAGCTGGTTACTGGTTTTGTTTCTTTCTTGACAGGACTGTTGTAATTTCCTACTGGTCTGTAATGTTTGTCAAAGCTACACCCACTAAAATTCTTACAGAGTCAAAAGATCTCGTATCATATTGACACTGACTTCCTTATACTAACTCTTGATCAAAATCTGGGGTAAGACTTTATTAGTTGTCTATAATGTGTTGAATTAAATGGTTTCAGAAAACATCACAGAACTGCTTTCACCTTGAATCACGGTATGCCTTGAGGTCTGCCAAAGCTGCATTTCTTGAAATTCCAATAGCAGGATTAAAAACGGGAGAAGCAGCCTAAGATGACCTGCTGTTCTCTTACCGAACACATAGCATGCTGAAGTTCTTGCTAGGCAGATCAAATCATTTTGACTGTCACAGTTGAATAATTCTCAAGTTGTTTTAAGTCTTGATGTCTAAAATTCTCTTCTTCACCTACTTTTTCAGTACAAACTCTATTTGTACTTTGTGTATTCTGTAAAGCACCTTGAAAACTGTTGGTTGGAGGGGAAGTAAAGGTTTACTTAATTGCCACAGGAAGTTGTATATTTTGTCATTCTTGTAGCTGAATGAGGTATTAAACTGGAATCGCAGAGTGTTCAAAGTGCATGATGATGAAACCAGTATTGCTTTATGACTGTGCATGGCAGTTTTCTTTTAGAATTTATGATTTAAATTTTAAATTTAATAATAAAATACTACTTATTTAAGAAGTCTCATAAATGAGTACGTTAAGCAGAAAACAAATTATGCACAACATAATTCAATTCAGTTCTCACATTGAATTTAACTTCAATATGAGAAGTTAAATTCTTTCCTATTAATGACATACTGAACCAGTGCTTTCTGTGGTGAAAAACAAACTGGTAGGTCAGTTCCTAAATAGGACAGTACAGTAAGACAGTGAAGATGACCAGTGCCAACACCAGTTAATTCAAATGGGCTCACTCGATCAAGTGTAGTAGTGTAGCAAGGAAACAGGACCTTGCCTAATGTTACAGCAGCAGTGAGCTCCCTTCCTGTATCTTCAGTCTGCAACATGAGTTAATGGGGTAAAGCAGAGGGTACCATACTACTTCATGCTTTGTTTTGATAACTGACAGATTGTACTGTCTATAACACCTTTTCTCTCTCCCTTTCAGCCTTACAGTGTTACTGCCACCGTTGCTTCAACTCAACCTGTAAAACAGATGGCCTTTGCTTCATATCGATCACCCGGTCAGGAAGCAAGATCACAAAGCAGAGCTCCATGTGCATAGGGGAGAACGACCTCATTCCCAGGGACAGGCCCTTCGTGTGTGCACCTTCTCACAAAGATGATACCAGCATCTATCCTCTGTGCTGCAACACTGACCTCTGCAATAAAGACCCCCCTGTTCTGCCATCATTAGGTAAAGTCCTGTCAAGATGTTATTTCTCTCTACTGGTAGGAGCACTACCACTGAACCATTATGTATAGACACAAATATAAGGCCATTCAAGTTAGACAAGCTAACATTCATTATCTGATCTTTCAGTAGACTCAAGGCCTACAGCTGAAATGTTCACAGTGCTCGTTGTTGTGCACTTGAAAAAGAATAAATGAGTGATTTAATTTTTTGCGTGTACGCTCCATAGTGACTATTGAATGTGGATTTGAATCTGTTCATCGGATAGATTAAGGTTATGTTTGACTAAATTTAAGCTTTTGCTATGTTGTTGGTTGTTTAATAATTGATCATTTAAGTATACTTTGTAAAACAGAAAATACTTAAAGAATATCTAATACAGCTAATGTTTAAACTGCTGATATATATAGTAACAGTGCTTCCTTTGGAAGAGAAATAACTCAATATCTCCACTGCTGAATAATAAAACAATATTATTAATATTATAATATATATATAAGTAGTGGGACTTTGAAGTCCCAGCAGGTCTTCGCACCCATGTGGAATATTCTGATGTTGTTAGGTTGTCATTATTATTATTTTAAGCAAGGTAAGCATGTTGTGTTATTAGATACTAAAAAGTATAATTTTTGCACATTTGTCATAGCTGGTAAGTGAAATGCATTCATAGCATAATAATTATGTTACAATGACTCAAGAAAAAACTTGTGTGGTGAAATACAAAGAAGCACTTTTTTCATTCACACAACTGGAAAAACAGGAAAACTTTGCAGAGTGTGCACCTTGATTATGACCTAGACTCAGTTTTTGTGGCAAACAGTTACCATCAGGCTCTTTGGGAAATTAACTTTTGACAGTGTCTACCTCGGTTCTGCAGTCTAATGTCTTTTGACTTTGCTGTCTCACTTGGCCAGAAAGCCAGATTTATAAACTTTTCTTACTAGGTGGGACTTTCATGCCCTGACAAGTCATAAAGAGTTAAAGCAAGATAAAGTCCAGTTTAAATTTCTTGTATGAGGCTTTACTCAACTTCTATTCGAGCTGTCTAACTTCTAAGGGATACACGGACTGCACTGTATTTGTTTTAGGATCTTGTTAATCCATTTTCATTAAAATAAAGTAAAAATAAAATATGGTATTGTTTCATGAATGCTTTGTTGTTTTAGAGTTGATTTTGTTGCCTTGATAATCTAGCAAAATTTGCAGTGCACATTTTTCTTGTATATGATTTGTTTTGAAAGCAGTGTGTAAGGTGAGTATATAGAATGGTGATTTATAGCTGTTTGTTTCATTCAGATATGAGTAATTTTGTCTCCCATGCAGACTGCAAAGGTACAAAGCAAGTCAATAATAGTTAGTCAAAAAACCTTAACAGCATCAATAAATATAAAAAATCACTGTGCAAAACAATCATGCAGTGCTAAGAACTTTTCAAAGTACCTTTCAGGCTGTTAGCTGTCATTTTTTCTAATTTCTTATACTAAGTGAGTGGCATGGTGGAGCAGTGGTTAGCATTTCTGCCTAGCAGCTCTGAAGCCCTGGGTTCAATTCTTAGGGTTCTGTCTGTGTGGAGTTTGTATGTTCCCCCCCATGTTCAAATGAGTTTCCTCTGGGTGCTCCGATTTCCTCTCACAGTCCAAAGATATACTGGTAGGTTAATTGGCTTCTGGAAAAATTAGCCCTGGTATGAGTGGGCATGTTTGTGTGCTCTGCGATGGACTGACGTCCTATCCATTTTGTATTCCACCTTGCGCTTGTTTCCTTCCTGGGAAACATGACCCTGTATTGGATAAAGAGGTTAGAAAATGGATGGATGGACTATGCTACATGACCTTTTCCAGCAATACTGTCTTTTGGAAAAACTTAAGTTAGTTTAAACAGGACAGAAAAGGTTGCAGAAAAGTAGATAATAGTTTAACAATTTTCACCAAAGACTGCAATGCCTGTGTTTTTGCCCCCTCCCCCTCCTTATTCCCTGAAAAAGTTTTTTGAAGTCTTTTTTTTTCTGTGTTACTTGATAAGGAACAGTGTTTCGAAAGGGGTTTGAATGTTCTGTTTAGAACACATTCCAGAATATGAAACAAAAATGGAGAGAACATTTTTACACTTCTGCGGTAGTGACACCTATGATTGGATTAAGCATTAAAGCACATTGCTGCATTATTATTATTGCAAGCGATTATTGCAAGTAGGATTTTATTTTTTTAGAAGGGGTTTTCCAGGAGATGCCAGGAAATCTACAGCAATCAAATGTTGCATCTCACTTTACAAAACACAGTGATGTGACTTTTGGCATTAGGAACGCGCATGCGTGTGTGACTACATCTCAACCCACCTCACAGCTCATCACTAAAGCATTTGCAGTAGGTAATCTGAGGACTTCTTCTAGTGATTGAAACAGGCTTCAGACACTGGAGAGGCTGCCAGACAGAATAAGGGCCATCTTCTAAGCATGCATGAAGGAGATCAAGATACCAATAGCTAAGGCACCACATTTTGGAACTGAATATTTATAGAAAGCTCTGTGTTAAGTGGAAAGATTAGTGTTTAATGTTTTGCTGTGATCTGCATGACACTTAAAATGTAAAGCTTTATTTCTCATACAAATTCAAACTCTGTGTTGGTGCACAAAACCTACAGATTTTAAAACAGCAAGCAAAATGGTTCCTTTCTGGAAATGAAAGTCATCTTGAAAAAAGTAAAATGTGACTGCATATAGCTGACATTTTGCAGATATGTTTGTAAGTCAGTCAGTCCTCCAGAAGACCTCAGACTGAGTGCATTTGGCACAGTCAATTTGAAGTTAAGCAGGGTCCCAAAGGGCCAAAGGAGCCCTATTTTGCCTTCATATTGCCAAATATCTCCTTTAATGTAGTAGCATTAGGCACCTTAAAGTGGCAAGAAAATCACAGAGCATCACTGCTAAATGACACCAGCACCTTTATAAACAGAGCATTTCAGCTTACAGCAAGCAGCAAGGCACACTGTATAAGTGCAAAAATCCCCCCAGAATGCTCTAGAGCAGGGGTTTTTAACCTTTTTGAGAGTGCGACCCTTTTTTGGGGTTAAAATATTTCATGACCCGCCCCCCCTCCACACACACAGATTTAAAAATTGTCATGTTGTATAAATTGTAAGCCTGCTCAATAATAATAATTTTATATAGCACCTTTCATACAATTTTTGGCAACTCAAAATGCTTGTTACAAAAAATTATATAAAATAAAGTTTATTAGTAATAGCAAAAGGCTGCCTCTCCAGTCATCCTATGCTTAATTTTCTTAGCCACAAGTGCTCGTCTATGAATCATACAATGTGTCCACAAAGCAAACGGAGCAACAGCCTGTACTTTCGTGACTAGCCCACTGTGATTGCCAGTCATTGCTCGTGCACAGTTTGAGCAGATTTGTCAATTTCATGGTCATGTACATATGTGTCCAACAAAACAGAAAGTTGATAGTCAGTGGTGCACTCTGGAGTAGGACAACAGAACAAAAAATCCTCCTTATTTTCTCCCTCTTCAACAACTCTGGTGTAAACAAGCATTTGTGCATCTCCGGAGACATCAGTGTTTCATCAAGTTGTAAAGAAAAATACACACTAAATTTTATCTTAGTGATCACCTGCTGTTCCACATCTCTTGCCATACACCCAATGCGGTTAGACACGGTATCAATGCTAGCTGCTCTGCAGCACCTTTCACACACATGATTGAAACCGTTTCCTTAGCGCACGGTAAGAAAAAAGTCTCGCCTAACACGTGGCTTCCGTGTTTTGGCAATCCAGTTACCTATGACGAAAGATGCCTGAAGTGCCTTCTGGTTCACTGTGGTGGCTCTTTTGGAGGGTAGATTGTTGGCCTCTTAGCTCCTGTAGCTTTCGTTCAAAAAACCTCAACAGGTTTACACAGCAAGGTCGAGTGTCTGGTCTGCAAGAGTGACGTAGCACTTCAGGGGGCCTGAGGCTTTCCTTAGCCAACACTTCACCACAAACCACACATAGTGGTCGTGCATCCTCTCCATCACTTGTCTGTGTAAATCCGTACTTTAGGTACTTTTCGTTTTATTTTCTCATTTTTTGTGTGTTCGGAGTTTTCTGCTGTGTGTTCCTCCACATTATTTTTAGCTCTCACTCTTCCAATGCCACATATTAAAAAACCTGCAATGCAATCGTGTCCCACCCGATAGGAATTAATGTAGTGCCTTCGCCGGGCGCACCGCAGAGCAGGCTGGGAGCTGTAGCCGGGAGATGGTCTATGGGCTTGCAGAGGGACCACTAAGTCACTAAGTCATGAGCTTTACGTGATTTAAGAGTAAATAGCTGTCTTGTGAGTTAGGAATAAACTGAGAGGTTCAGAGAGGTTCCTTGGCTTGTTTCTTGAAAGCCTGTCAAACCAGTATTCATGCATATTTTCCAGGCACTAACCTGTTTGGTAAGCACCCTGTGAAACTGCGACTGCGCCACCAGCGGTGTTGCGCGGCTGGCTGTGTTCCACAGGGGTGGCTGGGCTCGAGCTGACAGGAAACCCCCCTTGAGGCATTCCAGCCTCCTTGATTACCTGTTCCAGGGGTGGAGGGCAGGATCTGAAAAAATCTATTTTCAATTGATAAAATCACTGAATTTGATTGAGCTGTAGGCAGATGTATAAGGAATGTGAAATGTACAGACTTTTTTGTTCACGTCTTCTAGTTCTCTTTCTAATAATATATTTTTCTGTAAGAAAATCTAAAATTGCCAGATGTGGGGCTTCTACAGTACTTCTAAAATTCTTGCTCTAGAGTTTTATCTGGATGTGATTCGGGTAGATTTTCTGTACAGTTATTCACCTTTAGTGTACACAACACTGTATCAAAATAGTTCTACTGTTAAGATACCACCAAGATGATTTCTGATCTTTAAAGGAAAGACTTACTATGCCTTACTCAGTGTACATTAAAGAAACTTGTTTATGACATGGTCTTCAGTTGGTAAGTCTTTAGCTATGTACAAAAGCTAAATAATAGATTTTAATATATTGAAATATACATTAAGTAATACTCAATATTTTATTTAGACAATTTTCTTGAACTTGGTGCTTTACAAATACATTCACTAACATGATGGATGTAAAAAAGAATCTCGCAGCAAATTAACTGAATAATACAAAAAAGTAAATACAGTAAAATACGCTGCTTTAAGATTAAATTTACAATATCAACAGCTGCATTCTCAGATGGATTTGGACAGCAAGTTTTACTCTTTGTGCTGCATACGAGAGAGCTGTTTCTTATTTTGGGGAACCTTAAGTATAAGGTTACTCTTGGGTGTAATGAGAAATCCTGTGTCAATCAGAGATTGAACATTGGGCTAAATTTCTGAGTGAAGTAATTGAAGTAAAGACCTTAATCAGGTCATGTTACATACAGTAAATGGAAAAAAATGACTCTTTGGTGTTGTTAGTAACACAACTTTCAAATGACAAAGCAGAGTCCAATATAACACGAAGATATCGAACCCTTCAGTAAAGGTTTTAATGTTGGTGCTATCAGTAACTAGATGAAATGGCCAACTTTATTTAATCATTATCTCATTCTCATCAATGTTTAACTTAAAAATCTTTGAGAAAAGCAATATTTATATTTGTATCTAAATACAGTATTACATTTTGTATTATATTCAATCTGTAAAAACAGCTGAAAATTAGATCCTTGTCTGTTCTACTGAGAGATAAGGCATTAAAAAACTTCAAAAGTATTTTCTCCCTTTCCAGTTATCCTTCTTTTGTTGCCTTACAGATCATCTGTGGTTTTTAAGTTAATATTTTAATTCAAAACTTGAATGCTGCACCAGAACACTTTTAATAGGTATACTTTTTTGTCACAAACCCCCCCACAAAATTAAAGCTGCAAGTCTTTTTAGTAAAGTCTCTTCTACCTTTTGACACTGGGCTAATGCATTTTCTGGTCCATTTTTATTTCATTTTATGCTAAATTCACACTTCCATAAATTATATTCCACTATTTAGCAGTTTCATTAGTGTCAGCTATAAACAGATGTGTAGTTTTTACAATCATTTGGAGTGCATTACAAAAAAATAGTCATCAAATGCAACAACCTAGATTTAACAAGTTAAATATTTGAGCATTGCCTTGTTTTGTAATTTAATAGACGCTGTCCACAAAAGTACGCCTGTGTTAAGCAATCTCCTGGAATATCAGCAAGATTAGTGTGGTGGTTTCCGGTGTTTTACATGGTTTTGGAGGGATAATTCCAATCATATTCTGTTTTCTGAAGTTTTTGTGACAGCGCAACAGCAGAGTGAGGCACAAAAGAATGCTGAAGTCAGCAGTTCAGTTGCCCTTTCTGTATTTCAGCATTCTTCCAAGAGTGGTCAAATTAAGCTTGTATTTCACTTGCTTTTTCCTTCCCTCTAGGAGTTAGATTACTGTAAAACAACAAAAAAAAGTGGTCAAATGCTTCAATCCTAGTTAAACTTGATTCTGCCTTTTTTCCCCCCTTCTTGTGTTTTTTGATCCAGAACCTCCAAACCCAACTCCTCTGTATCTGGGACCTGTGGCCTTAGCAGCAGTGATAGCTGGGCCCGTCTGCGTCTTGTGCTTTGTCCTGGTGTTGGTGTTCTATATTTGCCACAGCCGCTCGGTGATTCACCACCGAGTTCCCAATGAAGAGGACCCGTCTTTAGATCGGCCCTTCATCACAGAAGGCACCACCCTGAAGGACCTGATCTATGACATGACAACATCAGGGTCAGGATCAGGTAGGCTGCACTTCAAGCTTTAAAGGAGCCAACATTGTCTTTTTAGAAATTAGGTCTTCATTTATACATAAATACAATTTAGCTTTTCTTTGAAGATATAACTGGAGACGTCTTGTTCAGGGAAAATCTGGAACAGTCCTGGCAATGTGCTGTAAATGTATACAGTATAGCATTTCTTTTTTTTTGTCTGAAGAATGATTAGACTAATTTGGTTACCATTTGGTGTTAGTGTCCTTTAATCTTGAAATAAGATTTTCAAGTATATTTTTCATGTATATTATTTTTTTACTTTTTTCTGTAAGGTATGTATTGATGTTGAATTTATCCTATTTTTTAGCAGTTATCTTTCATAACTATTTTTTTTTGTTTAGAAATTAGAGGTGATCACACTTGTTTTGATTTTCATGTATATTTTTCAATCTGGCCTTTTTTTCCATTTTGGATCAGGCTTCACTTGTTTTGAAAAAATGTTTTTGTATGATCATACAGTGGACCATGTGCTTCTGGACTTTGTGTTGTGCTCTCTAGGTTTAGTCGGCAACACTGCCTTTCCTGTGGGTGATGCAAAGAGTGTTGTGAGTAAACAGTTGTGTCATGACAGTTCTGTGTTCAGTGAAACTTGAGATAGAGGTTGTGCCAGGCATGTGAAAACAATCTGCTAAACTGAGAGACCCACCACATGCCAGATATAAAGCACTTGGCAGAATGATTTTAAGTCCTTCTCTGTGTGTCATGTATAGTAAGTGCTATTGCATGGTACAGTGAGCCCAGTTTACTTCAGACTTCATTGGCCCTCATATCCATTGCTAGGTAGAAACTAAGAAGTGTATTAGCATTTGCATAAAATACACGTGGCCTAGAGTGGCAGAAAACATATTCAGTTGGCACCAAGGAGTTAGATATGGTTGACTAGAGACCTTTGTTTATTCAGTTTGCTAGGTTTTTCCTGTTATTTAACATGAAAGTTGTTTAAAAATGTTGCTAAATGAGGAGAATCCCCTTTCTTCTCTCCACAGTTGAATGTTTTTCATTTTATTCCACAGTGGTGATTTAGTCATTGCCATAGTACACGCTTAGTTGAAACAGCATTTGAATCATTTTCTTGGATATTACTCTATTCAGTAACTTCAAATGTTTGGATAAAGTTAACTTCAAAATGTGCTGTGGGGCTGGAAACACTGACAATTTCCAACAACTCTTATCAAAATTAAAATATTAACGATTATGAGACTCGGGTCTCACAGCAAATACATTCAAATAAATTTGTGACATCATTAGTTATTAG